TTCAGCCACTTCAGGTCATTTAATGAATTTCAGGTGGGCACCTGAAACCGCTGAAGTGGCTGAAGCTTCTGAAAGGGGTTTCATATACCCCCATCCCACCATTTGCAATGGTTCTGTAGGCAATCTGAAAGTGGTGTAGTAATATAAAGTGGTTGAACTGCATGGAAAAGAAACCTGAAAATATATGCACGTGTTAACCATCTCTCCTTACACCTGAAACCACAGTCCACTACGGTCCATCCAAATGACCCACAATAGGTTTGCTTTGCATACCTGGGCAATATAGCCTCACCCTTCCTTCCTGCTTTGGCTTTCAGGAATTCCCCTTAGTAGAGCCCACTGGTGTTCAGTGAACTCCGAGAGACCTGTGAGTTTTTTCCAGGGATGTTCTCACCATTCCCACCACCTACGGGACTTCAGGCAATTCCACCATAAGTGACATGGTGATTCCGTGCGTGCTTTGCATTGGTCGCTTCTTCTTTTTTGGATGTAACTGTCGCGAGTACCAGAAAAGAAAATACAATAGGACCCAGACTCAAAAAAACTTGGTGCGCAATAAAATTTAGGTTCGACGAAAACAGGACCAGTGAGTAATACATGAGATCCTTTTTTTTTGGGGGGGGGGGAATGGCAGGGTTGGGGGGCCCAAGTTGTTTGCATAGCACCGCCCTGTTGCATTTTGCACCTCAACAACTGCCGACTGGTTCTGCTCTGGGCTGAGTTTGACGGCCTTGCTCGTGTACTGTAGGTGAACATCTATCGCCCGCTGTCAATCCCCACGGGTCTTCTGACAATGGCGCTGAAAGAAAGCATGCGATGCGTCACCCACGCCTTGAGTGGCGTGGGGAGCTTTCAACTCGACATTATGGCATCTTGAGAAGCCTTAACCCACGCCGATTACACCTATTACGCCGCATCCAAAGATACAAGCACCTGCATCGAGGAAATTAATCCTGACTGTAGCAGTGTCAGTACAAACACTGAGAGGGTTTGTATAATGACGTTGGGGGTATTGTCAACAACACCAAGAACACTGAGTGTTTCATCAGACTTGGTAAAAGCTACGAAGAGCATCTGGCGATGGTTTTGCCTGAATACTTCTACTACATCTCGAAGGGGCTGGGGTATGATGTACCAGCTTCCGTACCGAAACGATCGTCTGAAGCCCCAAGTTTTCGTTGATATGACTCGTCGGATTTCTCTTGGGCTCTTTTTGACCCCTTCCTTTCGCTATCTCCCAGGTGAGTGAAATCACGAGTCAACCAGACCCTCTCATGTCTAAAACGACGTTTCTTTTTTACTTTGCTGCAATTTCCTTTCGGCGATCCGTGCATCTACGTAGGAATTCCGCGCGCCTTAGCGAGCATGTTAGGGAGCCTGTTTGGCAGTTGGAAATTCCGGGATTTACAAACACTCTCCTCGCTGACATGTCGTTTCTTGCAAATGAATGTTCCCACACCCATCTTTGAAAGATTTGTGAATTTTCAGTAGGAAGTTAGATAGACGAAGGATTTTCACGCGCTCAATCCTGCGCACTCGTCGTGCATTTGAATTTCTCAGTCTCGAAGTAGCTTTAGGATGGAACGTAACTGTTTTGGTGCCTTTTTTTTCCTGCCCGTCGCCATGCATGCAAGCTTTCCCCGCCTCCCGCTAAGACCCATGCCATCTTCACCCTCCTCCTCTTCACGCCTTCTCTCCTTCGCCTGTAACTGTTTTCATCCCCTACAACATGAGAAAATACACCGCCATATTTTTTGTCTACTAATGCCAAAAAAATGGCGGTGTATCTTCCCATGTTATAGCGGGAAATTTATTATCATTTTGCACGGCGTGCACGTATATGGGATTCCGAAACCATTAGGAAGAGAATGAATCTGCCGGTAGAACATGGGAAGATATGGCGCCATTTCTTTTGTCTGTGGTAGTCACATATCTTCTCCCAGTCTTATCTCTGTCTCTCTCTCTCTCTATCTATCTGTGTCTGCCCCCCTTCCCCCTCCCCCCTCCCCCCTCTCTCTCTCTATATGTCTGCCCCCCCTCCCCCCCTCCCACCCCCACACTACATCCCTCTGTTTCATCCATCTCTAGGTAGAGAATGAATCTGCCTCTATAACATGGGAAGATACAACAGGGGGATTTATCGAAAAGATGCCGTAGGGCGGTAGGGGTACACCAAAAATTAATTGGGCCGTTTGAAAGTTGGCACCTACGGGGTATTTTGAAAAGTTGGGCTGGTACTCGTAGGGGTATATTGCAAAGATGGTGGGTCCAGCTGACGCCAAGGGTATTTTGCAAAGATTTTAATGGTTGGTCCAACTGACGTGAAGGGTATTTTGCAAGATTTTAACTGTCAGAAGGGTATTTCGCTCTACCCACATCTTTTAGGGGCATTTTGGCATTTATCTCAAATGTGAGGGGTATAACGCAGATTCCCCCTTTCTTATCTTTCTTTTTAATTTTTGTATTTTGAGAACTGAAGAAAAGGCTCCGCTAGTGGGACCGTGTCCCCCTAGCTCTACGTAGCCTTGGCTAGATTGCTGGGCGAGGTACTGGTGGTTTAAAATTGGAACGACACACAGAAGATGAGCATGACCCCTGGGGTGACACGCATAAGTCGAGAAACGGTCCAAGTTGGATTCGACCTCACGCCCACATTTGAACACAGTTCATCGATCCGCGAGCTGAGCTACGCACATTGGCTTTTTGGGCGTGCAATTCTTTTCTCGGGGCAGCGCCGTCGGGAATTCCGTCCTGGTCGGCACTGCCCAGAAAGGAATAGGCAGGCGGAGCAGAGTCGAGCTGTGTGCGAACGGGCGTGCGGAAGTGTCGTTTCTCTCTTTCTCTCTCTCTCTCTCTCTCTCTCTCTCTCTCTCTCTGTGTGTGTGTGTGTGTGTGTGTGTGTGTGTGTGTGTACCTGCGGTGTTGTGCCGGAAGATGTGGAGAGTTCCATCCACCCTCGGCCCAGAAAGGAAATAGGTGAGTCCCCGCGGCACCCTCCCTCCCTCCCTCTCTCTCTCTCTCCCTCTCTCCCTCCCTCTCGCCCACCCTCCCTGTCTGTCTCCCCCTCTCTCCCTCCCTCCCGCCCACCCTCCCTGTCTCTCCCTCTCTTCCTCCCTCCCGCCACCCTCGCTCTCTCTCCTAGCGGTGTTTTGCGCGCAGAGGTGGAGCGTTCCGTTTACACTCGGCCCCCAAAACCAAATATGGGTTCGCCCGGCGTGTGCGAAGTGCACCCGCTCTCTCTCTCTCTCTCCTCGTACCTCCCTCCTTCCCTCCTCCCTCCATCCTGCAATTCCATTTTGTGTGGGGTGCCATGTTGCAAGTGGGACAGGAGTTCTGCACGGCGGTTATCGGAAGGAGTAGGGGGGGATCATGCGGGGATCATGCGGAGAGGCTGGGGGAGAAGGGATCATGCGGGGATGATGCGGGGATCATGTAGGGGGAGGTTAAGTGCCTGGTCATGCAGGCAGGAGAACGTCGCCATAGAAATCTTGGGAAGCTGGAGTAGAAGGGAGAAGGGGGAGGGGGAGGATGCAGGATCAGGAGGATGAGAGAGTGGGGGAGTCGCTCGATCAGGACGGGATGCGACCGCGGAGCAAGCAGAAGGAGCGTTATCGCGATAGGGTGAAGCATACAGGGAAAATTTGCCGGCGGTAAATGGGAGGTTGTGGAGGAGGAAGACGTCGAGGAGGGTCTCAAAGTAAATGGAAGGATGATCTCTAGGTCGGGGACCAATTTAAGGGGGTGGGCAGCGCGGATTGGGAGGGGGCTGATTAGGAGGTGGGATCGAGAGGAGGAGAAGGTTGGAATGCCAGCCAGCCAATCAAAGTGCAGGGGAAAGAAGGCCAAGGCAACAGGGGAAGGAGAGCAGGTCGTGTAGGGGGATCTGGAGAAGGTGGTGAAGAAGAGATTGCAAGGGAGGAAAGAGGTTCTCAGAGTGGAGGGGAGGGATCCGGTTAATGTGGATATGCAGGAGAGAGAGAGAGAGAGAGAGAGAGAGAGAGAGAGAGAGAGAGAGAGAGAGAGAGAGAGAGAGAGAGAGAGAGACGCCATGAAGAGAAGACTGTGGCTTGAAGATTAGTCTGGGATCTCCCCTGCTCCTCTCGCGATCTCCTTCTCCCTCACTCTTCCCTCTCTCTTGCAATTCTCCCCTCTCCTTCCCCCTCTCTCTCTCGCTCTATGGGGTGCGTCCGGCCATTAACAATCGTCAAGTGCCCTCTCTCATGCTCTCTCTCTCTCTGTCTCTCTCTCTCTCTCTCTCTCTCTCTCTCTCTCTCTCCGTAGATGGTTCTAAATGTTATAAGCAAAAAGAACGGAAGAAAAAAGAGGAAATATTACTACACCCTGTGAGAGCTCCATTCTACTCTTGGGGAAAGTTGCCAGACCGGTTGCATCTCTCCCCTTTCATATCTCGCGCGTGTGGCGTTGATGACGCCAACACCAAATGCTCAGCAGCTCTGCGTCGAAATCCAATGCAGAATTGGTGATCATATTTTGAATGATCTTAATCAAGTCACGATGTTGGTCAATTTCGCAATCAATCCTGTCATTTGAGCCTTCTTCCACTCATCAAGATGGTGAATGGATTGATTCCAATCGATGAATGGATTGATTAAAACCGGTGAATGAATTGAATGAATTGGTCGATGTCTCGGATAACAACGAGCGGGCATCGGTTTCGAAAGGCTGAGAATGCCACTGTGTCTACTCACGGCCATCATCGACTATTAATTAATTAATTACTTAATTAAATCCATCGACGTGCTACACACATCATCCGATTTTTATCGCCTTTTATCACCTTATTCGAATCAAGCGTCGAACCCTGTTCCCCACAATAGTCGTCGTTCAAAATATTCCTCCAGCGGTATTCTTCCTTTCCTCTTTCTCTCTCTCACGGCATGTCTCTCTCTCTCACGGCATGTCTCTCTCTCTCCCTCTCCCAATGTGCGGAGAGAGAAAAGGGTGTTTCTTGCTCGCCTTCTCTCTTGAGATTTGGAACTCGAAGAGCCGAGGGAGGACTTAGTTTCTTGCTCGCGGGATATCAAATGAAACCGCCAAAAAAAACGTTCGCTGTTCTGAGCGAGAGGGGGGGGGCACACTCTGTGTGTGTGTGTGTGTGTGTGTGTGTGTGTGTGTGTGTGTGTGTGTGTGTGAGAGAGAGAGAGAGAGAGAGAGAGAGAGAGAGAGAGAGAGAGAGAGAGAGAGAGNAGAGAGAGAGAGAGAGAGAGAGAGAGAGAGAGAGAGAGAGAGAGAGAGAGAGAGAGAGAGAGAGAGAGATTTTGGGGGAGGGGAAGAGGGAATGACATTCCGTTTGTATTTTTTTGCTGTATTGGAACTCTTTTTGCTATAGTTGTGACCTTGGGCCATGCTGTAAAAACGTTCGCTGTTCTGAGCGAAAAAGAGGGAATGAATGTGAGATTCGTGGTATCATTTTCCTGTCTTCGGCGTCAGCAGTTGGTTGTTTACTGGAGAACTACGTTTGCGCTTGCACGTGTGTGAGTGTGTGTGTGTGTGTGTGAACCCAAATATCTCATGGACATTCCATGTGCGTTTGCTTGTTTTCATTTCTTTTTGGATTTTCAGCAAGCCTACGGGCTTCCCACGATCTTTTTCCTCGTTCACCTCCTGGCCTTTATTCTTCCTCTTTTGAAGTGTGCCTTTTGCAGTCGGTGTTGATAACAATGACCATCCTTCACTTCCTCTCTCTCCCTCTCTCTCCCTCTCTCTCTGTTTTGTTTTATTATTTTCCCTTTTGAAAAGCTAGCCATTCTCAGAAACGGGCTCGCTACGTCGTTAGGTATGAAAAACTCAATTCTGCGGTGCAATTTACAGTGGGACGGTGTGTGACAGTGTGACAGTGTATTGTTAGCCAACAACGTGCATGATTGGGATCGCTTTGTTGCCAAAGGCTTCCGAGAGTGATCATCATCATCATCATCAAGTCACAAGCTCTGTTCCGTATGGTGTCGTTTTTCATTCAGGGTGAAAACTGATTAGACCGGGGCCGGGAAGGGAGGTGAGGTTGGGGTCAAGAGCGAAAGGGAAAAGGGAAGCCTGTAATTTTTTCCCAGATCTGCATACATAGGTAGTTAGACAGAATGGCCACTCTGCGCGCAGTTACTGTTCATCTTACGGGTGCCACGCGGCCTCCTTGGGCGAAGCACAGGATTGACTCCGCCGCCGCATCGGGACCACCACATTTGCTCCCAACCTCTTCTTCTGGCAATTTGCTCCCAACCTCTTCTTGTGCCACGTGGCATGCCGTGCGCGGCATTTTCCATGGCGCCTGTTTCATCCCGACTGTCCATCGTGCGGCTGCTGTCGGATTGTTCTCGCAGCCATCTTGCCGCCGCCGGCGGAGCTACTCTGCCCCGCCGTCGCCCCCTCCGCTGTTCAAGACCAGCGCGCCGATGATCCGAATGTCGGTATCCGGAGCTCGGCGCTTTGCACCGGCCGTCGTTTCCTGCCGCCGTCGCGATCCCGGCGTGTGGTCCCCACCATCTCTCCCCCGCGCGGGCCAGTTATCCATCAGGGATATCTCTTGCATTCGATCCAGGTACCTCACAGGTCCGCGGGAGGACTATGACGGGGCCGCAGAGCGGCAGCCCCAGATCAGCGCTTGCCCCCCTCCCGGCGCGAACAGCGGTCGCTGTGCGCCAGGAGGCTATGGCGGTCGCCGCCGTCACGAGGATGCGACGCGGGAATCGTGGATTTGCCAGTGTGGTGCGCGGGAAGGAAATCGCGGGAGATCTGAGAACCGAGCGGAAGCAAGGCATCCCGTTATTTCTGGTGGTGGTGCTGACGTGTCCCGTGCTCGACGGCCGTCGTCCGTTGCATCAGCATACCGAGTTTTGTGTACGGGATTGCGACCTTGGAGCCGCCGGCAGCGAGTTCATTGGTGGTCTGGAAGGGATGCTGCGTGTCTTCTGGCGGCGGGTAAGAGGAGGGAAAATCGAGAGGGTGGAGGTGGGGGTTGGGTTTGGATACGTCACAGCAGGGGGCAGTTTCTTGGCCATGAAAGAGAAGGTCGATATGCTATTGCATGTCGTCGAGCGTTGGCAATGAGCCACGTGCCCTCCGCCTCCTCCTCCTCCTCCTCCGCCTTCTCCTCCTCCGCCGCCTTCTCGCTGGATGCGGCTTCATCACAGTGCCTGCAATCGCGCGGTCACGGCGGCAAGTTGGTTCTCGGGATCGAGACCAGTTGCGACGAGACTGGCGCAGCTGTTGTGTCCACGGACGGGGAGATCCTCAGCGAAGCCTTGGCCTCTCAGGCCGAGCTCCATGCTCAGTGGGGAGGGGTAGTCCCAAAGCTAGCGGAAGGAGCCCATGAGGACGCGATCGACGCCGTTGTCCAGCGCGCGTTGACTACGAAAGGGGGCCGGAGGATAGATCCGTCTGACCTGGCAGCTGTTGCGGTTACCATCGGTCCTGGTCTAAGTCTTTGCCTGAAAGTTGGTATACGGAAGGCGAGGGCATTAGCGAGAGAGCACAATCTGCCTGTCATCCCTGTCCATCACATGGAGGCCCATGGGCTAGTGGCCAGGCTCTGCGAGCGGGATCTGGACTTCCCATTCCTCACCCTCCTCATCTCGGGGGGTCATAACCTGCTGCTGGTGGCCCACGGAGTGGGCCATTATACCCAACTTGGTACAAGTCTGGACGATGCCATCGGAGAGGCTTACGACAAAACGGCCAGGCTTCTGGGATTGGAACTTGGGAGGGGTGGGGGACCGGCTCTGGAGGAGCTGGCCCGGGAAGGAGATCCCTTTAGCTTCAATTTCTCGGTCCCGATGCGGAAATTCAAAAACTGCAACTTCTCTTATGCAGGTCTGAAGACGGCGGTGCGCTTGGCCATAGATGCAGCGTGCCCGGGCGCGGAGACCAGGCCGGTCTCCGCCGCCACTGCTGCGGAGCGCAAGATCCGCGCCGACATTGCTGCCTCGTTCCAGAGAGTCGCAGTTTTGCATCTCGAGGAGAGAACGCGGAGGGCGATCCAGTGGGCGCGAAACATCGACCCTGCGGTTGATTGTTTGGTGGTTGCTGGGGGCGTGGCTGCCAATCAAGTGGTAAGGCATCGGTTGGAAGGTGTGGTGACAGAGGAGAGCTCCAACAAGGAAGCAGTAGGTGGTGGGGTGATGCGCATAGCATTCCCTCCTCCTAGACTATGTACCGACAATGGAGTTATGGTTGCCTGGGCGGGAGTGGAGCGCTATCGCCTGGGATTGATGGACCCGCCTCCACCGTCGATCGAAGCGACGGCCGAGGACGAGCATTTGGATATACGGCCAAGATGGCCTCTTGGAGAGGGGCTCGCCCAAGGAACTCAGAACGTCAAATCTATGAAACAAGTGCGGAACTACACATCGCTGACAGCGCTGTCGAAAGCTGCAGGGTCCCAATCATTACCTGGGAAACAAGCTCGGCCAAGCGGTGAACCATATGTGTTGTGAGTGGTGCTCTTGGGTGGGTGGTTCTTGTCACAAATTGTTACACCCACCCACACTTAACTTCAGTCATTCTTCTGGAAAGAGGGTGCTCAAAGGTGTCAAGCTCATGTGCAAAGAGGGTGTTCGAGGGGGGTCAAGCTCATGTGGAAAGAGGGTGTTCAAGGGGTCAAGCTCATGTGGAAAGAGGGTGTTCAAGGGGTCAAGCTCATGTGGAAAGAGGGTGTNGGGGTCAAGCTCATGTGGAAAGAGGGTGTTCAAGGGGTCAAGCTCATGTGGAAAGAGGGTGTTCAAGGGGTCAAGCTCATGTGGAAAGAGGGTGTCACAAATGATTGTGCGCGATGTGGACTCTAAAGATCATTGATTCACTGCGAAGACAGGCATTGTGAGTGGTGGGTGGTACTTGGCCACGGGCTCGCCATATGTGACACACTGTTACTCCGGTCATTCTTGTGGGATGTGGACTCTATAAAGATCATTGATTCCTTGCGAAGAACATTTCTTGTTGTAATAATTGGTGTAAGACTGGCAGCTGATTGCCGTGGGGGATTACAGTTAGTTTTTACCGGGGTAAGAGTGGCAGCTCATTGCCGTGCATTTGGCACAACTTTCAGTCCAGATACAGTTAGTTTTTATAGTTGTCGAAGACGAGAGAGAAGAGAATGCCTTCGGATTCTTGCAAGACTTCAGGTTGGTTTTTACCCAACCATGCCGCCGAGCTTGGTTAAACCAAATCACAATACCGTCTTCACCTGAATAAAACGCCCTATAAAATTTGTGGCATCTGGACTGAAAGTTGTGCCAAATGCAGTTATAATGACCGGGTGGGTGAAGACGGTAGGCTAAACCAAACCAACCACTATGTGCCAGTCGCACCAGATTTCTAGTGTGCTTCAGTGATTTCACGCAAAACCAAAGCGGTTTGGTTAAAATACACCCACTCCGGGTTAAAGCAAACAGCTACAGTCGTCACCCTACCCGAATAGAACGCCTGGTCATTATAGCTGTATCTAGAAGGAAAGTTGCCTCAATACACAGGTGTAATGACCTGGCGTTCTCTTCCAGTGAAGACGGTAGTGTACAGGTTATGCTAGATTTCTAGTGTTGCTTGGGGCTTAACCTAACTCGCTAGATGTCCAGTTAAACCAACCAAGCGAGGTTCCAGCAAACCTGCAGAATGTAGGGTAACCCGTGTTGTTGTTAGACGGCTCCATTGGGACCTTTCTTGGCCATTCGGCGACGTACAGACAGTGGCCTTCTTTCTCCGCCATCCGCCATCAGTTCAAGCAGAAGAATCTGGTCTCTCCTAATGTGGCAGCCAATGGCACTAACACTAGGCTTAACCAAGCTCACTCGCTAGACTTCCACTTTAACCAAGCCAGGTTCCAGCGCACTTGCAGAATGTCGGGTGACCCGTGTTGTTGTTAGATGTGCCGTTGGATCTTTCTTGGCCATCTGGCAAAACCTCCAGACGTGGCCTCTTTTTTCAGTCATCGGTTCTAGCAAAAGAATCTGTTCCCTTCTGATATGGCGGCCAATGGCACGAACACTGCAGCAGGGAAACCTGTTCGGCAAATTCGCAGTCTCAGAAGGCGGCTCCTTCCGTCCGTCCATCCTCGCTATCCTCGCTATCCTCGCAGTGGTGTGATCAGTACGGGTGTCTTCTTTGCTTTTGCTTTGCCCTCTTGTGTGTCATTTTTGCGTATGCAGTTTGCGTTGCTTATCGTTCCTTCATATGTTTCGAGTTCCAGCTTAGGGAGAAGAGAGGCAGATGGACTGAATGACAAACGCATCTGCGGGCATGTCTGATCGGTGTCGCATGTGTATATGCTCTTTTTCAAACTGTAGTAGCATGGATATTGGCAGTGATGAGTTGCCATTGCTGCTGATTAAAGTGTGGATATGGTTGGCGTTCGCTTGTTTTGTGTGCAACAGGAGGCCCACAAATCTTTCACCTTGTGAGGATTTCTGTCTCCTCCGCAGGTGACCGACCGCAGGCAGGCAGGTCCTCAGTCATGTCGGCCGCTTTGGCAGTGGTAGCCACGCTTTCCTCCTCTATTGCTTCCTCTCATTGCTTGGAGCTGGACACTGACTTGATGACATCAACAGCTTGTTGTTCTCGCATCCCGTGCGAGTCTGGTTTTGTCACTCACTGGAGGCCGAAGAAGAGGCATTCGGCCTCCTCTGTCTCATGTGCTTCTTCTTTCTGCTTCGCAGGCCGAAGGCTTTGCAGCGATAGTTGGACGAGAGTAGGGCAGTGTCCTCCCTGCTGCACCGGAGTTGGGACCCGAGTGAACTCAGACAGGCTTTGCAGCCAGTTGTCCCCCTCGGGTGGGCGTATCGGAGGCAAGGTGGTGTCTCGGGCCTCGAGCGATGTTGCGCAAGTCATGGACAACACTTCTCCTTTCACTTCAGAGGTGGATCCCACAACCATCGTTAACGTAGACTTAGGAGACCGTAGCTATCCCATCTATATTGGCTCTGGGTTGCTGAACCGCGGCGATTTGCTGCGGAGACATGTCAAGGGTAAGCAGGTTTTGATAGTCACGAACGACACAGTGGCGCCTATTTATCTTGACTGGGTCACTGAATCCCTTGTGAATGGCGCAGAAGAACCGATCATGGTGGAAAGTGTTGTTCTTCCCGACGGCGAGGCATACAAATCTCTTGATGTGTTAATGAATGTGTTCGACAAAGCCATTGAATGCAGGCTGGATCGCCGTTGCACACTCATTGCACTTGGTGGTGGGGTAATTGGTGACATGTGCGGATTTGCCGCGGGTGTGTATCTCCGTGGCGTCAACTTCATTCAAATTCCCACCACATTGATGGCCCAGGTAGATTCGTCCGTCGGCGGCAAAACGGGGGTGAATCATCCACTTGCTAAGAACATGATAGGGGTCTTTTACCAGCCTCAGTGTGTGCTTATTGACACCGACACCCTCAGCACACTCCCAGAGAGAGAACTTGCTTCTGGCGTGTCCGAAATCGTGAAGTACGGGCTCATTCGTGATGCAGAATTCTTTCAGTGGCAGGAGGCAAACATGGACAAGTTGCTCGCAAGAGATCCTCTGGCCCTCGCCCATGCGATTAAGCGATCCTGCGAAATAAAGGCAGAAATCGTTGAGCTGGATGAGAGAGAGGGTGGGCTGCGAGCTATCCTCAACCTCGGTCACACGTTCGGTCACGCCATTGAAGCCGGACTAGGCTATGGGGCTTGGCTTCATGGCGAGGCTGTTGCCGCGGGGATGGCTATGGCTGCAGACATGTCGTATCGCCTCGGCTGGATTGAGAAGGAGCTTGTCGAGCGATCTGTGGCTCTGCTTGACCAGGCAAACTTGCCAACGGCCCCCCCGAAGGAGATGATCGTCGAGAAATTTAAGTCGATCATGGCAGTGGACAAGAAGGTCGCCGATGGCCAGCTCAGGTTGATTCTGTTGAAGGGCCCTCTAGGTAGTTGTGTATTCACCGGAGATTTTGACAGCTCAAAGCTGGATGAGACTTTGGAGTATTTCTGTGCGAAGTCGCAATGATGCTCTGTGCGTCGAGGAGAGCACACAAATAAAGGAGATGTGAACCCGGTGGGGGTTTCACTGTTGTTGTGCTCCTGCTGATATACCCCCTTTGGGGACTTGGTTTTCACGGGGGGGTCCAATGTGGGATGGGACTGCTTCATGCTTCGCTAACGTAACGTAAGGTCCCAAGCAAGAACCACAGCCTTATACTGGAGGGTCACATAATACTGCTGTACAAGGCTACAAGTGGCTTGACCCGACCCATAACTGTTAATTCGTCGATCTTTCAATTACCAAGTTCCATGCTTTATGTGGTTGGTAGGATCGGTAACAGCGTTCGCTGATGCAGAAGTCTTCCTCTTCTTCTTCTTCTTCTTCTTCCTTTTTTTTTTTTTTTTTTTTTTTTTTTTTTTTCGGATTCAACCACCGCTACCTTTCCCATATGTCAGCCGCGGGCATCTAGTAGCCTACTCCTGAAAAATAGCTGCCACGCCGCCGTCGATATGTTTCATCGACGGCGCATGGCGGCCGAATTTGAATTTGAGGCCCGCGGCCCCACATATGAGAAAGGTGGTGGTGGTTCAAGGCCATTTCTACCTTACTAGGGGAGGTGATATGAGGACAACCTCCCCGAGTGGGCCAGTTAGTGGCCGCTCCTTCTATTGGTGGGGAGCTGCACCTGCTGAAAAAATCGGGCCCAGCGTCCGCCATGGACGGAAGTACATGGTTGTATATTTCAAAGTCAACTTTGGGTTAAGTCTCCCTTTTCAGGGTGGGGAGTACATGGTTGTATATTTTAAAGTCCACTTTGGGGTAAGCCTGCCTTTTCAGGCGTCACGCCGTGGATGGAAGTCCATTGTCACACTCTGTAGGCGTTGTCGTGTCGGTTGTTCTTCCTCGTCACGCCGTTGTGCTGTTGCCTGTCGCAGTCTTTTTGGTTGTCGGAGCGTCTTGTGCGATGCACCGAGTCTTATGCCAGACCTTCTCTAGGCTGGGTGTTATGTTGCTGCCTGTCCCTTGATGTCAGTTGAGGGGTCTGCTGTGTGTATTCAGGTGTCTGTTCTGTGCTCGGCTGGCTGTTTCGCTCTCCGCTTGTCTACTGTCACTTTGTTGGCTTGCTGTGTTGTTGTGTGGGCCTTCATCGTCAGTACAATTACTGCTTGTTCATCACACGCCATTGTGTGGTCCCTCAACTGTTCAAAGAACTTGGCCACATCATCACAATTTGTCCTTCGGGACATCCGTTAAAAGGATTGGAACGATACATATATAAGATGAGAATGACCGCGGCGCAAGGATGACAATGACAAGCATAAATCGAGAGAGAAACGTGGCCACATCATCACAATTTGTCCTTCAGGACATCTGTTAAAAGGATCGGAACAATACACAGACGATGTTCGCATGGCCCCTGTGCAAGAATGACACGCATAAATAGAGAGATGGTCCGAACTTCCAGTCATCACATTTTGTTTTCCTCTTTTTTTCCCCCTCTTCATTCTCTGTGATCAGACTGCACTTGAATAAGGCATATACCAACTTTTCGGACTGAGCTGTGGACATGATTACAGTCAGATGCATCTGAAATGAACCAAGTTCTCCTCAAGTTTCACCTCGCATACATCAATGAACATTCACACGAGAGTTCACATGTCAGAGGTAGAAGACAAGACACAATCAACTCATGTGGAAACCTTCACTAAAATTATCATTACTATACATAGTATACAAAGAAATGTTTATGTCTACAGCGACTCTGCCACACACACACGGAGAACTGATCTCAACCGGATGACAGCTATGGCTTCTCTCTCTCTCTCTCTCTCTCTCTCTCTCTCTCTCTCTCTCTGACTTGGCTCGCTCTGCATCACTCCCTGTACCTAACCTAGATTGCAACCCTGGATACACCCACTCAGGTAAGCTTGCTACTTGGTGGCTATGGCCGCCGGGCCCCTCCTTTTTCTACCCTAGCTATGAAGAGACAACAAGCGCCTTCTTCTTCCTCCAGACGTGATGTGCCCAAGTTGCCGCAACGCACAAGCGGCAGCAGCGCTTCCGCATCTCGCAGTTGAACAAGTGACCACCCGCTGCACTGTAGCAGCCAAATATAGAGCTGGACTTGGCTTGGCCTGCTTCAGACCGGTACTGGTCGGTTGCGGCCTTTTGCTTGGCCTGCTTCAGACCGGTACTGGTCGGTTGTGGCCTTTCTGCTGCAATCATTTTGTCGCCCTGTCTGCTGCAATCATTTTGTCGGCCCGGTAGCTTCCGGATACTGGACTGGACTGAACTTTTCTTGTCGGGTACTGGACTGACTTTTTCCGATCTGTGACGTTTTGGTACCGACACCTACCAACCTATGATGCTTCAGCCTATGGACCCTACGACCTACCCGAGTGGGACAGCCTCGGACCGAGACCGTCTGGGACTGGGATACTGTGGTACCCTGGGACCGGAACTGAGGATGCTTGCAGAGTGAATCCTTTCACATCCACGTCTGGGCGTAAAATTGCAGTCAGAGACATTGAGGAAAGTGCTACAGTCTTCCTCAGAACAAAATGCACGTGCGTTGTATATGAATACAACGCATGGGGTGCGTTGTATATGAATACAACGCATGGGGTGCGATGTATTCGTATACAACACGTGCGTAATGCTACGGATTTTGGGCACTAACTTCGGAGAAGCCCCCACCCAAATGCCGATACCTTTGCATAAATTGAGAAAAATGGTCGACATAGGTCAAAAAAAAAAAAAAAAAAAACACAGAGCCGGATAACAGGGCTCTCTCTCCACTGCTCACCAAATGTAACAAACGTTAAAAAAGAAAAAAATCTGAATGAATCTTGTGCCAGGAAATGGACATATGCATCACCACATTTTTTTGTCTATTGTGCATGTGGAGAGCAGTGGAGCAAGGGCCCAACTGTACCAATCGAACAGTTGGCCCCACTACTTGCTGAGAGTCACATTCGAACAGTGATGCAGTCTTGGATCCCCATCTTGGCTCAGTGAGCGAGAGAGAGAGGCGCAGAGCACTCTGAATATGAGTGTGGCACTGCAGACGGGCATGCTTGCCACACACACACACACACAC